CCTGTTTGTAATGTGCCTGACGCTCGTCTCAAGGGTGACAGCGACACGGGCTTGGCTGACAACGTCGAGGTAACCCTGACTCTACGTGGTATTTATATTACGAGGTCACAGGTCGCGGAACTAAAGACCGTATTACATGTGTCTCGTTTGTCGACTACATGTTCAGAATATGTATTGCGTGTATTAGCAGACGTATATTCGTTCGTTTGTTTCCGCCTTTAACACAGTTTCGTACTTCACGTGACTTATATAATATCTCTAACGTACAGCAATAGAAAATATATTGCTGAACACTATATGCTTTATATTGCGGACTAATATATGTATATTGATGTACATGCGAAATTGAATTTGCGATTGAAGTGATGTTGCATGTATTTAAAAATTAAGTATGGAGAAAAGCAACTATCTTTGTTATAAAAATTCTTGGAAAATTCGAATTCGCGAATTACCTGTGTCGTTGTGGTAAGCAAACATACCACATTTACGAAATTGACATTCATATGATTGCTCTTATCTCAAAACCCGGGGTCTTTGTCACTCTAGCTTTCTCATCTACCACTTAAATAAAGATAAACAGTTAACGAGTACTAGCACCTTAATGGTGCACAGTCTATAATGACATGTTTACCCCTTCCGTCGCTGTTAACAAGGTTATTCAACACCCTACTTTTACCTTAGCTTTTTTTCATCGTTTTTGGTCATTCTTTTTATCACATTCATCGGTATTATAACATTGATATACAATGGATAACTAACATGCATGTTATATTGGTTATAGCCATATCAAAATGGCATGTAGCGTAAAGTATTCATATCGAACGATCGCGCTTTTAAAAACACCAACATTATTGGGTCAGCATAAACGTCCATAGACCTGTTGTCCGTAAAACTGTTAACTCATCTGTCTGTTATCAATTTTTAAACTTTACATAAATGATAAATTTACCCATTATCCCATTTTATCTATTACCTTTAATTGGTATGGTAAAGTGAGATCAACAGGACAGGTGAATATAGTCTGACTATACCAAATACCCATGTACCATTATAATATGAACACAACGTTAGTTATATATTTATTTTCCAATGTTAATATATCAATTTAGCCAACAAAACTGCTACATGTATCAAGAAAATGACAAACTCAGATAGATAAAATACGGTAGTAGCTACAATGTAGTAAATATATGTAATTCATTCGAAAAAGATTTCCTGCTACAATTATATCGACACTTTCTTCATGACCAGGCGTAAAGCAGGAAGCTGTTGTTCTGGCAGGTCTACATGTCTCGTCAAATTAATCATTAGATAATTAATGAATATCTTCCCCTTTTGGCCTTTCAATTAACCTATTACTCATATAGTTATTAATCACAAAGATAATTAATTACATTAAATATCATATTTCACTTTGAAGTCACAAAAAGTAAAAAAAAAAACTAAAAAAATATATATATAAAAAGAAATAGAACGAAAATATGTAGATTAAAAAAGCGTATTTAATTTAAAGTTATTTAAGAAACATATACTTAATATCGTGACGAGACTACGATATTAAACTAAGAATACGTTGCACGGAAAAGGTCTTTAAAACTTGAAATGCTAATCATGCCATGTTTCTTGTTTTACATACAATACATCATTTTTAGACTTTAAATCTAAGGTCAGGTAACTCTCATATTTTGGCTTCCTTTGCTTTTTATCTATTGTACAAATACATTTTGAACAAAACAAAAACAATATCAGACATGTGGTGAACGCTTATAATTAGATGACATAGGATTACAGGCTGTCTGTTGACACGCCCTCTCCACAAAATCATCACAAAACGGCGATCAGACAAGATAAAAAGTTTTGAATGTCATCCTACGTGAACTGGTTCCTTACCGACATTGTGGTGTTTACCAACAAAAGTGTTTCCCTTCAAATCAAAATGTTGGTATCTTAACGTTTACAAGATTTAAACCAAACGAAGTTTTAAAGGCGTATTTAAGGAATCAACTGTTTGCGCTTACGTTACTTAACATTGATTAACGGAAATTTATTTACAATTTCTTCGAAATACAGGGAAGGTAAAACTTCATCAGATTCCTTTCCTAATTCGGGTACATCTCTTTGGTAAATATTTGTTCTGTCTCTAAAGAGTGTTAATGAAATAAAGCCCTTTGTATACCTAAAACGATGCTAAATAGTAAGAAATAAGGGAATCGTTTTCAAATCTATCAAAATAAACTCACAAAGTCGTATATACTTGTTCAAAATATGTAATACCGGATTTAAATAGTGACTGACCCAGGGGTGTTGTCCTAGTGTCCCGGCCAACAACATTTTTTCTGTGTCAAAAATGAACGTTACTCAAAAATATTATAACATTTTCCTCCATTTCATATGTGACGTTCTCATAACCAATGTTTTTTTTAATGGCTTCACCTAGCCAGTAATTCCAATAGCAGTAGGCCTTAGGGTGTTGACTAAACACCTCTGATTTCACTACCCTTAACAAAAGGGGATTAGTGCCTCTATTGTCAATGTTAGCTAGTGTCAATTCAGGTCAATAATCAACTGGTCTTTGTTTTACTTGACCCTAACTGGTCCTTTATCAAAGTTCTGTCAGAAGGGAGTCGGGCTCCACCATTTGTGGGAATAAGGTATATACGGGCTGGTAGATGTAGGTTTTGTCTATTTTCATTTTTATCTGTATTTTCACCTTTGGTTGCAAGCGTAAATGATCATTAAGCGGCATTATTTGTTAATATAATACCCCTTATGTTGATTTCCAGGATCATAGAATTCGCTAAAGCATACCGTTTACCATTGATACTAATTGAGGTACAATGCACAGCATATACCTCATATTAACTTAATGAAAACAGATTATTCAATGTGCAGTATGCACATGAATATACCATTTTGCATCACTAAACAAGGGACTAACACGTTTCTAGATTCTGCTTCATCCATTATATTGTTTGGGATGATTTTGGGGCTGATAATATAAGTCACCAATGCATTCAGAATTATGAATTTCAATCAAAATATAGTGATGGTCACTGTATTGATTGTTCTGATAGTGGAACGTGGGATGAAATATGAAGAATATGGATGTTGCCGAAAACTGTGATTGAAATTACTATTTCTTAAAGAAAGTAAATATAACATGTACATGCTTATTTGATTTAAGTGTAGAGCACAGTGTCTACAATGAGCCCAGATCGAATTGTTGCAACAGTCAATCAAACATGAGTGTCAACTGTATATCTTGCATTAGTATAGTTTTCATGCGGCGAAAGTGAATGCAATTGTACTAAACAAAACATGTTCTAGTAAGGGGAGACTGAGGCAAATCATGACTTCATAAAGCATGCGAAGTCAGGTTTTCCTGCCAGCTTCACGACCTTTTGTATGTTGCATGGGCCGAACTTGCCATGATCTCCCCAATAACCAGCGACACGTACACCGTATATTAACCCCTATTATATGATGACAGAAAATAGGAGAGAGCCTTTATACCAATTCCTAAGCGCTATAAAATGTGGCAAAATTTAGTTTTATTGTTCAAGTTTGGGCAACTCCCGTAATACGTTCCTGTATCCGCCCCTGCTAAGGTTACCAGACACATCATCATCAACGTCCATTTTTGTAACGTACTTCAAAATTATTACAGCGGACTCAATTATCTCGATCAAAATGGGCCCTTACAGCAAAAAAAAGTAACTTTCCAACTTTGTATTAAACCGTCAGTTTGAAAGAAAATACAGTTTTTGATGTTTTTCGTTATTAATTTGGAAAAAAGGAGTTCCAATTTTTTTTTCTGAAACACAATTCGCTTGTCACTATTTGTTACATAAAGATGCATGATTACCTTTTTCGGCCAGGTGCTTTTCTAAGGTCTAGGCAGTTGTTGGGTATGGGTAGGCATTGGAATTACATTATTAAGGTTTCAATGTTTTTTTGTCAACATTTTAGTGGTGTGTTGAGCCACCTCAATCTACTCTGCCTTGCAACCGGTCTGTGATTCTCTTCCTTTTTACATCGTTGAGTATTGTTAATCATAAGCCCTTTCTGCGACTACTGTCGACTGTCGGACGCTAACCGTTCGATAGGCATTACGTCATAATTGAAACATATGAGTATTCTCAATAAAAAAAAAACAACCTTCCACATGTTACTTATAAAGCTGAATAACGATGTGTTAAATAAATGTAAAAAAATGTGGGTTATATATTGATCACTGCTCTGTCTTTACGACTTTTTCTTATTCATAACCAGGTGTTTCGTTTGAGCGAATATTATTCATTCTTTAATCTATTTTTGTAACATACATTATAAACACACGGACTCTGTTGCTGAAAGTTTGGTTAGCTTTTCATTTCATTTTTATTTTGGTAACACGAAATTAGTCTTGCTAAGCAACAGTACTAGTCAAAGCACGTCAATGTTTACTGTCTCAACATATCTGTAGCAATGAAAAAGTGCTTATTATTGTCATATTACTATTTGAAATTTTACTTTTACCGTTTGTTAACTCAAGTTAGCTTTGTTGTTTAGACCCTTTTAAACTTGACGACATCTTATCAGCAACATTTTATATTACAATACCGAGAGGTCTTAAAACCTGTCAGCAATTTAACCCAGTTGTGATTGTCAAATTCTCCGGGGTTGGGCAAATTGTGTCATCCATATTAACTATTCTTCTACATGTGTACATCTTGTTGAAATATGGATAGCATTGGATATTATGACATGGAGTCATCTTAAGAGGATCCCCTGATATGGTAAATTTAGAAAGATATATCGCAGTCAAATGCAGTATAACGACATATATTGCAGGATAATGTTGTAAGTAATTTAAATAGAATAAAATCTGAATTACAAATTAAAAGCCAATTTTAGATTATTGTTTTGTTTTTATTTCAACATAATAAATGCATAATAAGATGAAAACACATACTTTAAACAAATCAATATTGATAAATTCGTAACAATGATCAAACTCT